ATCGTTGGAGAAGGATGTCATGCTGGGTAAGGTGGAGGGTCAGAAAAAAAGAGGAAGCCCTCTAAAGAGATGGATCGGCCAGGTGGCATCTCATTGACGGACTCAGGTGTGGCAGCAGTAGTGAGGTTGGCCCAGGATCGGACATTGTTTCGTTTTGCTGTGCATGGGGTCGCTATGAGTCGGTTCCGACTCGATGGCACCTGACAACAACAACAACAAAGCTAACTTTTAAAAAGACAGTGTTTATGTATTACAATTCTATTCTTAGCACAGAGGTTGTTGTTGTTGTTAAGTGCTGTAGAGTCAGTTCCGATTCATAACAACACTGTACACAGTTTCCAAAGAATGAAATACCTTTACCACAATAGGCAATTCCATTCCAATGAACTATTTATTTTTTCAGGTCCAAGGGCAGGCCCTGAAGGGGAAGCATGATATGGACATTTTAGTTCTCTAGTATGGAGTGATTCCACCACTGTCTGTAGGTTTGTCATACTGTGGGAGCTTGTGTGTTGCTGTGATTCTGGAAGCTATGCCACAGGTATTTTAAACCAGAAAGGTGACCCACGATGTATAGGTTTCAGTTGAGCTTCCAGATGAAAGACAGACGAGGAAGAAAGAGAAATGGACTACTTCTGAATATTTAGTCACTGAAAACCTTATGAATCATAGTGGAACACTGTCAGCACCAGAATATTGTCAGATATAGTGCCAGACGATGAGCTCCTTAGGTTGGAAGACACTCAGAATATGACTGGTGAAGAGCTGCCTCCTCAAAGTCGAGTTGACCATGATGATGAAAATGGAGTAAAGCATTCATGACCTTCATTTGCTGATGGGGCACAACTCAAAATGAAGAGAAACAGCTGTAAACATCCACTAATAATTGGAACATGGAATGCATGAAGTATGAATCTAGGAAAACTGGACATTGTAAAAAATGAAAAGGAACACAGAAACACTGATGTCCTAAGCATTAGTAAGCTGAGATATACTGGTATTGGTCATTTTGAATCTGACACTCGCATGGTTTATTATGCTGAGAATGACAAATTGAGGAGGAACGGTGTTCCATTCATCATCAAAAAGAACACTTCAAGATCTATTTTGAAGTACAACGCTGTCTGTGATAGGATAATATCCATATGCCTACAAGGAAGACCAGTTAATACTTTCAATTATTATTCAAATTTATACACCAACCACTACAACCAGTGATGATGAAATTGAAGAATTCTATCAACTTCTTCAGTCTGAAATTGATCAAACATGCAATCAGGATGTATTGGTAATTGGCGATTGGAATGCAAAGATTGGAAACAAAAAGGAAGGATCAGTAGTTGGAAAATATGGCCTTAATGATAGAAACGATGTTAGAGATCACATGATAGAATTATTCAAGACTAATAACTTCTTCAAAGCAAATACCTGTTTTGAACAACATAAATGATGACTATACACATGTACCTCATCAGATGGAATACACAGAAATCAAACTGACTACATCTGTGGAAAAAGACAGTGGAAAAGCTCCATATCATCAGCCAAAACAAGGCCAGGGGCAGATTGTAAAACAGACCATCAATTTCATATGCAAATTTCAGGCTGAAGCTGAAAAAAATTAAAACAATTCCACGAGAGCCAAAATATGACCTAGAATATATTCCACCTGAATTTAGAAATCACCTAAAGAACTGATCTGGTGCATCAGTTCTTTAAAAGACCAGAAGAGTTGTGGGATGACATTAAGAGCATCGTACAGGAAGAAGGCAGAAGGTCATTAAGAAGACAAGACAGAAGGAAAAGACCAAAAGAGACGTCAGAAGAGACTCTGAAACATGTTCTCCAGCGTAAAGATGCTAAAGCTAATGGAAGGAGTGAGAAGGTACAAGAGCTGAACAGAAAATTTCAAAGGTCAGCTTGAGAAGACAAAGTCAAATATTAAAAAGAAATGTGGAAAGACATGGACTTAGAAAACCAAAAGGGAAGAACACACACAGTAGTTCTCAAGCTAAGGGAACCGAAGAAAAATTCAGGCCTTGACTTGCAGTATTGAAGGATTTTCTGGGCAAATTATTGAATGATGCAGAAAACTTCAAAAGAAGGAAGGAATGTACAAAGTCACTGTACCAAAAAGAAATGGTTGATGTTCAATCATTTCGAGATGTATTTTCAATAACCTCATATGCATAAGCAAGTTGGACAGTGAACAAGGAAGACTGTAGAAGAACTGATGCATTTGAGTTGTGGTTTTGGAGGAGAATATTGAAAGACTTGGACTTCCAAAAGAACAAACAGATCTGTGTTGGAAGAAGTACAGTCTGGATGGCAAGACTTTGTCTTGCATACTTCAGACATATTGTCAGGAGGGACCAGTCACTGGAGAAGGATATCATGTTTGGTAAAATGCAACGTCGAAGAAAAAGAGGAAGACCTCCAGCAAGATGGATTGGTACAGTATGGCAGCATCAATAGGCTCAAGTGTAGAAACGATTATGAGATTGGCCCAGGATCGGGCAGTGTTTTGTTGTGCTGTCCACTGGGTTGCTATGAGCGGGTACCAACTCGATGGCACCAAACAACAACAATCCCCTTGTGTTGGAATGACTGACTACCTCTTCATCTATGTCTAGACTCCTCATTGTTGTTGTTGTTAAGTGTCATCAAGTCGGTTCTGACCCATAGTGACCCGGTATAGGGTTTTCAAGGAGCGGCTGGTGAGCCTGAACCACCGACCTTGTGGTTCAAATGACTTTGCAGTCCAGCAAGTTAGCCCACAGCACCACACCTGGTTTCTCATAAGCACAATTAAATGTTCTGGAAATGCCATTCTTTGCAATGTTATTCATTATTTGTTAACCATCTAAATCCAGTGCCTCTACAGTCAATAAGACACTGGTACACATCTTTCTGGTATTCTTTGCATTTACCCAAGATGCATCTGAGGTCAGCAATGATATCCCTAGTTCCATATCCTTTTCTGAATCTGGCCTGAAATTCTGGAAGCTCCCTGTCAATGTACTGCTGAAACAGGTTTTTAATTATCTTCAGCAACATTTTACTTGTTAGTGATATTGTTTGATAATTTCCACATTCTACTGGGTCACCTTTTCATTTCCAAATACACTATCTTCTGTATGTCATCATTTCATAGCTGTTTATAAATGGTAACAATTAATTGCTAGTTCACTAGAGTTTTTGTTGTTGTTAAGTGCCATCGAGTCGATTCTGACCCATAGGGACCCTGTATAGGGTTTCCAAGGAGCAGCTGATAAGCTTGAACCACCGATCTTGCAGTTCAAACGACTTTGCAGTCTGACGCAGTAGCCCACAGCGCCACACCAGGACTCCAGTTCACTAGAGTAGGGCTGTGCTTATTGTCTGTGCTTATTCCCCACTAGCAAAGTGTCTAATTGCTGTGATGTTTGTTGAATGGAACTAAATCAACAGCAAGTATGCCTTATGCAGTATTCAAAGCCATCAAGGGCACTCCAGATATAGACAAATACACTGTATGCTGACCAAAAGAAATCTTGTAACCTGACTCTTCCACCAGAAAGATTAAAGAACAAACTGAAAGAACTCTTAGCCCATTAAAGTATCATATACTAGTTCTCAACTCTGGACCTAGTACAACGCTGATAAGAAAAGTTGACACTTAATATTCCCTAACCCCCTCACCCCCCAGTTAAAGATTTTTACTTCTGTGATGGAGTCCTGGTGTGGCTTGAACCACCGACCTTACAATTCAAACGACTTTGCAGTCTGAGGCATTAGCGCACAGCGCCACACCAGGTAGGGGACTGCAAAATGGCAGCATCAGTGGACTCGAGCGTGGCAACAATTGTGAGGTTGGCTCAGGATCGGTCAGTGTTTCGTTCTGTTGAGCACAGGGTCGCTATAAGTCGAATCGATGGCACCTAACAACAAAAACGGGATTGTAATAAAGAACCCGCAAATAATGCTTCACGTCCTCCCCCCAACACATTTTAACGAGCCAATGTTAATTTTAAAAGTGAACTTGCACAGGAAGACAGTTTGGAGGGTAGGCCTCTCCAGCGTCCTCTGCAAAGCTCGCTAATAAACAAGCATGGCTGCGTTCTGTCCCACCAGCCATGGAACAGAAACAAATCATCCTCGTCCAGACCACGAAGACTTGAAAACCTGGAGGAGGGTTCAGGGCGTAGGCTGGACCATAGTGGGTTTAGGGCCCCAAAGGGGTCGCTCGCCGGCCCGGAGGAGGCCCCTTCGATTCGGTGACTCCCCAATTACCTGTGGCTAGGCCCGTGCTGCGCCGCGACTGTCGGGACAGCGCGTCCCGAGCCCACTCCAGACGCGCCGCACCGCCGCTGGTCAGCTTCTGGGCCCGCGCGCCACTGCGCGCCTGCGCTCACGTGGGTAATGGCCCGAGTGGGTGAGACCATTTGAGAGTCAGCGCGGGGGGAGCGCTGGTGTCGTGAGGAGCATCGAGCCGACCCAGGACCTCGGCCTTCCTTCTCTTCCTCTCTTCTTACCTCAGATCTGGTCTACTGTAAGTCTTATGACTTCCTGAGTGTCCAGTGATGCGTCTTCTAGGACGCCAGCTCGGGACAACCGAAGGCGCCACCCCGCCTGAGGCCTCGTTGGCGGCGCTGCGACCCCGCCCTCCCGCGCCTGTCCTTCCCTCAGCTCTCAGCCTTTGCTCCGCGCTAGACCCGGCGCCGCCGCCCGGCTGCTTCTCCGCTGCGGCTTCCCACCTCCGAGGTCCCAGCCTCCGGGCCGGGGCCGCCAGCGCCGCCGCAGGACGGGGAGGCGGGCCATGGCGTCCTGCGTGGGGAGCAGGACCCTGAGCAAAGACGATGTGAACTACAAGATGCATTTCCGGATGATCAACGAGCAGCAAGTGGAGGACATTACCATCGACTTCTTCTACCGGCCGCACACCATCACCCTGCTCAGCTTCACCATCGTCAGCCTCATGTACTTCGCCTTCACCAGGTAAGGCGGGCGGGACGGCGCAGGGAAGAGGCGGGAGGGAAGCGGTGGCCGAGAGTGTGGCCGGAGGAGGCTCTGGGGGGAGGAAGCCGAGCTCATGCTCCACGAACGTCGCCCACGCAACTCCACCACCAGCCGCTGTCTCACTGCAATCCCAACCCCTCCCCTCCAGCTTGTCTGGACGCCCCTACCCCCATCACAGCCTCCCCACACACCTCAACCCCACCCTGCCTCACACAGCAGCGGTTTTGGCCCTCATCACTAACGCACGCGGGTTACCAAGCAGGAGCCCCGCTCGCCTCCTGCACCCCACACAGCTCCCCACGCTCATCAGAACGCAGCCCCCTGTTCTGCAGCCCCTCCAGCCGCTGTCCCTATCCAAGCACACTGCATGAATCATCTGGTGTGCATCATTTTGCGCGCGCGCACTCACACACACACTGCTGTAAAACACCCTGTACACCATACACTCATCCAGACCATACGCGCCATGCACACAGACTACACACGTGTGGCGCACCACACAATCTTTTCTCGTGCAGCAAGCCCCGGATACATCACACATAATCATATAGCACAGCCCTTCCCCCATCTTCAAACATAACCCAGTCATATACCACAGCACAAACTACCGTTGTAGACACACACGGCATAGCAGACCTTTCCACTTCCAGCACAGTTGATAAACCATCACCTCTTGCAAACCTTGCTACAAAATACCAAACTAGAGCAGCACTGACTTCACGCAGTACACATCCAGCCCTGTTCACATGTGACTTTGTAAAGCAGGTACAGCTGTACCTGGTGGGTTGTTGTTGTTGTTAAGTACCGTGGAGTCGGTTCTGACTCATAGTGACCCTGCATAGGGTTTCCGAGGCTGTAGATCTTTTAGTGACCCTGCATAGGGTTTCCGAGGCTGTAGATCTTTACGGGAGCAGAACATCTCATCTTTCTCCTGCAGAACCGCTGGTAGTTTTCGAACTGCTGACCTTGAGGTTGGCAACCCAACTCATAACCACTATGCTACCAGAGCTCCTTGGTGGGTAGGAAATACAATATACTGTGTATATATATAAAAAATTTACAGATGTCACACAATCCTCTTGTAAAACATGCACATATACACTCAGAGCACCTGTTCATATGATCACCCAGCCCAATTCTTTATTGTTGAAGAAAATTTACAAACCAAAACCAAACCCGATGCCAGTGAGTTGTTTCCAACTCATAGTGACCCTGTATAGGGTTTCTGAGAGGCCTTCTTTACCAGAGCAGAAAGCCTCATCTTCCTCCTGAAGAGCGGCTGGTGGTTTTGAACTGCCAACTTATGGTTAGTAGTTCTGTGCTTATCCTACAGCACACCAGTACTCCTTTGATGAAAATATATGCAACAAAAAAGGCACCATTAAACATTTTTCACAATGTGTCACCATTCTCCCTATCTGTGGCCTGCTGTTGCCCCTAAAGTTCTCGTGTGTTAATTGTCATCATTTCAGTCTCATATGTACTTCTTCAGTAGGGCAAAGTGCTGACTACAGACAGTATTTCTTGTGCTAAATTGTGGTTTATTTTAAAGATGACTTTGTGGGATAGTTTTGGCTCAAAGTTCAAAAATTGTTTCTAGGCTATACCTTCAGGGGTTCTTCCAGCCTCAGTGTATCCAGTGAGTCTGGTTTCCTTCTTTTAATCAAGATTTAGCTATTGGAACCCTGATCAAAACAGTAATGGTAGCAAGGAACCATTCCTTTCTTGTTGTCTCTTATCAGCCCAACTCTTGACACCCACATACAGCTCTAAATTACCTCACTAAACATGTGCTCCCCTCCCTCCCGATTCCCAGCCCAGAAAACTGGCTCAAAACAATCACATACCATGGTTCTTTCACAAGAATTTATCTGACTGCACCTCTTTCGAGGAAAGAAAGGTCTACCTACCCACAATATTGTGGCTTTAAAGACTAACCCAGAGTACTAGTATAGTGTTAAGACCAGACTGGTGGTTTCAAAATGTTGTTTCCCAGGTTAAGTTACTTACCCTTTCTCTGAGCCTTAAGGCCCGTATCTGTAAAATGTGGATTAAGTATCTCACTGGACTATGAAGGTTAAATACATTTGAGTCAATGCATTTAGCAGAGTACCTGGTACAATAACTATCTGGTACATGATACAATGTTAGTTACCTCACCCCAAGTATTTAATTTAACAGTCAGGGACATCAGAAAAAGGTGAAGGAGGTATAATAGGTACTCACAAGGATTAGGAAGACACGGCTGGCTGTGAGTAGAAGATAAGGCAGCTAAATGTATTGCACTGCGTAAACAATATGGTGCAACAAGAATGAATTGTTCCTATCACACACACAGACACATGTCACTGATGCCTCCCTAGAAAATCACTGGGATTCTTTGAAGTTTTTACTAAAATTAATAATATCTTCTACGTCTTATTTCTTCCGTACCTCCACAATCCATTTGACTCTTGGTTCTTACTGTGAATCTCCATGGATTAATCTATCTAAAAGTATTAAACATAATGTAATGATTACTTACCCTAATGACTGAGGGATCCTGCTACTATTTATGTGGGGTAAAATAAGGCCATACCTTTCCATGATATCTGACCAAGAATACATTTGTAGTTTTGAGATAAATCAGTCTTGTCCCTAATTATGATTACCCCCAAATACATCACATCATCTGATTTTATCACTTAATTGCTGTTTGGACACTTAATTTTGATCAGTCTTGGTTTTCTTATATGTAAAATCGAAATATCAGCTGCACTGTCTCCTAGAATTGTTTAATTCAATGCATGGCAAATTGTTTAAGTGTTCAATAAATGTGAGATCATTATTGTTACATAGTTTCAGTGTATGCTAATGCCTCCTGAATTGAATGAGGAAACAGTATGTCCTGTAATGGAGAAAAAGGTTGAAGACATTGGAGAAATGGACATTGTTTTGATTGGATAACATTCATACCAGTTTCATATTAACTCAGTTTAGCTTTATCTTATGTGTGGATTGACAGTGATGAAATTAGTGAGGGCCTGCCTTTGGAAATTACAAAAGTGTTTCAATTAATGAGAAGAAGGAATGAGCAGCTTATTCCAATGTTTTATCTTTAATAATATTATTTTATGCCCTTTCAGAATAGATCTCTCTTCCTCTTTTCTAATATACAAAGTAACATTCTTCTGGAATTTTCCCTTTTATAGCCTATTCTGCCAAAGCTGTTGAATTATAGTGATGAAAGTAAAATAAATGAATCGTAGCAACTTGTCAAAAGTAATACACCATTAATACAATTGTTAGATGCGGTTGAATTGGTTCCAACTCATAGTGCCCTATACACCACGCTACGAGTCCTGCGCCATCCTCACAGTTATGTCCGAGCCCATTGCTGCTGCCCCTGTATCAGTCCATCTTGAGAGTCTTTCTCCCCTACCCCCACGGTATAAGCACGATGTCCTTTTCCAGGGACTGGTTTCTCCTGACAATATGTCTGAAGAACAAGACACAAAGTCTCCCATCATTGCTTCTAAGGAGCATCCTTCCAAGACAGATTTATTTATTCTCTGGCAGACCATGATACTTTCATTATTCTTTGCCAACAACATAATTTAATTGTTGTATTGTTAAGTGCTGTCGAGTCAGTTCTGACTCATAGCAACTGTGTATAGAGTTTCCGAGGAGCAGCTGGTGAGCCTGAACCGCCAACCTTGGAGTCCAGCGCATTAACCTACAGCACCGCACCAGGACTCCATAATTTAATTAACACAACAGTAATATATCTTATACATTTTTGTATAAGATATATTTTTTAGTGATTTTAGGACCCTTAGGATTACTATCTCCCTCCATAAACATTTTAAGTAATGACTTCTTAAATGAAAATTATTCATTCTGTACTCTTCTAATGATATTTCCAGCAATAATTACTTTTTTCTTATTTTATATATGGTTTTAGTTGACTAGCTATTCAATACAATTCGTTCAATACAACTTTTAAAATTTCTTAAAGCTTGTTTTTCAAAGACTAGTCATCTAAGAGAACAGGAGATAGAATACTTTGGGTTTATCATGTTATTAATGTGTGAGTAACAATACCTGGGTAATAATCACATACTGCAGAGACCCAGCAAGAATTTAGGATTGGGGAGGATTAGATACTTCACATGGAAGTCTGAGCAAGTTTGGATCTGTCAAGTAGTTCTTTTGTTAATAGCAACTAGGCCAATTTACTGTTAAGCCGTGGCATTTAAACCTCCTTTCCCTCTGACCTTCATTAAAAATAAAGTCAGATGCTACCTAATCATTTGCCCTCAGATTTGAAAAAGCTTACTTTGCCACACTTCAGAATAAAAGTTTTCATACATGAGATGACTTGGCTTGTAAGTTTGTTCTTGTAAGTTTATTCAGCCAAAATGGGGCAAAGAAAAACCATTGTCTGGACTTCAGAGTATAATAATTAGTGAGGCGCTCTCCTTTGTATTTACTCTGTTTTCAGAAGTTAGTAAACTTGGAATGCTGAATGGCCTTAGTTTTCAGCACTCAAACTTTAGATATGAAAAGGCCCAAATCTACTAAACCACATTGATAGCAACCCCACTCTCTCCTTAAGAGACCTGGTAAAAAATAAAACAAAACAGGGAAAAAAGCCTCTGTTAACTCTTGTGCAAAAATCATGACGTAGGTCCCTAGGTGGTGCAAATGATTAAGTACTTGGTTACTAACCTGAGTCCTGGTGTGGCACTGTAGGATAGCACTGGACTGCTAACTGAAAGTCCAGCTTTCAAACTCACCACAGCTCCTTGAAAACCCTATACTTGGTCGTTGTGGTCACTATGAGTCAGAACCAACTCAATGGCACTTAACAACAGCAAGTAAACTGAAAGGTTGGAGGTTCAAACCCACCCAGACGCCTCAGAAGCAAAGCTTGATGATTTGTTTCAGATAGGTCACAATTCTACTCTGGAGCACAAATCTACTCTGCAAAGCGTGAG